CCCGGCAGCGAGCGGAGCCTCTGCGTTTAGGAAGAGGTATAAAATCACCATCCGGGCGCCCCAGAGGACCCAGCGGCGCCAGAGGGGTTTGCTCCGGGCAGCCCCTAGGTAGTTGGGGCGAAGCGGATGCCTCGTGCTGGGCTTGAGGAGACGGTGCCCTCTCACAGAGGCTTCTGGAGGGGGCCGGTGGTCACTGCTGAGCCCCCTCTCCCGGGAAAGGGTCACCCGGCAATTTCTGACCAAACACCCAACGTTTGAGGTACAAAGCATCATATATTCAGAACGGTATTAAGACCTTATTTAAATACAGTAAATGTAGCTTGTTATCCACAGTAGAGCGTTGCCATCACGGAGTGAAGGATCAATTTGCAGTGAAGGTAAATTTGTGGACCCTCAATTTTGCCCTGCTCCCCTTCTTGGGAAGGGAAGAAACGTGGGACACCTCAGAACTGGTATATTAAGCTTAAAACAGAGCGTTTTTCCTTATGGCTACGTCTATGCTAGTGTAGGATTGATGACAACTCTGCTACACAATTTTTGTTTCTGTTTTTTTTAATTACAGTGCAGAAGGCTGTTGCTGAGAGGAGACTTCAGGGACCAGTGGTAGAGCTCAGGGAGAGCTGTGGAGGATGACTCAGCAGGGAGCTGCTCTGCAGGGTTACAATAATGAGCTAGTGAAATGCATTGAAGACTTATGTATGCAAAAAGAAGAGCTGAACAAACAAATCCAGCAAGCGGAAGAAGAAAAAAATAAACTCCAGCATGAAATCCAAGTCCTGAGTGAGAAACTGGAGTGCGTATGTGAAAACCTAGCCCAAAAGGTAGCCTCACGGAACGAGCTTGACAAAATTCTTGCTGAAACTGAAGCTGCTTACATGAAGATTTTGGATAGTTCTAGAACTTTACTTAATGTCCTGAAGAAGGAAGTGGGAAGCTTAAAGAGTTCGCCAGAACTGAAAAGCCATGTAACCTGAAACTGTCAAATGTTTGGACTCCATAGTTCTGAAATTCCACTAGGTGAGAAATGTGGTTAGCCACAGAAGCCTCCGACAACAGTATAAGCGGAAAGGGGCTCTCTTCCAACTTTTCTATATGTTTTTCTTGTTTTTTTTAATATATCAGAAATTCTGTAGAGCCTAGATGAAATAAAGTTTTTGTTTTGCTTTAAAAAAAACCCTATGTAGTTACTTAAATCACTACAAACTATACTGCAAATAGGTAGCTGAGGCAGGTTTGAGGCTGTCAGGCTGTCAGTTTTGGTGTGAGCTGTTCTCACAGCTCTTCTGAAGATGGCAGGAAAACACTTTTACTAATCAGACTTTGGTTACCATTGAATTTCTGTTTGGTTGAATAATACTTTAAACCTGGAGAGAATGCTTTTTTTTTTTTTTTCCCTTCTTCCCCTTAGTTCTTTTACCCAAAGCCATGCATATTGCTCCATTGTGGAATCTTACCCCATCCTTTTGTCCTTCTTTTCCTTACTTACCTGTTTAGAAAGAAACTCACTGTAAAACTAGTGGATCTGTGTAGATCAGATACTACTTGTTTTCCCTGCACAAGTATTGCTATTTATTTTGAACTGTTAGGAGCCAAATAGAAACAAACTATTTATCTCCTTCCTTTAGGAGCGTGTTCTCCATTTGGCACATGCACAGAGGCAAGCCCCTCTTTACAATCAACTCCTATTAGCTGGAATAATGGAGCAGTAAGGTGAGAAAGTAACACAGGACATCTTAGGATATAAGACTGTATATAGATTAATTCATCTTCTGAAAGTATATTCAGAACCCTCTTTAGAAGAGAATTGTGTCATGGTGAAAAACTGGTTTTGGCATAAGTGCATGCTTTCTACTTCCAGGGTACAGTGCTGCAGGCATCTATACTGTGTAAGCTGGGACCAATTAACCCACTTACAGATGATCAAAAGATGACTGAATATTTCAATAGCTCTAGATGATCTTACAAATAGTAGAATTTAATCAAAATATTGTGTTAAATATAAAGCCGAAGAAGATAATTAGAGCTAAAAGCCAATACTAGAACTGCTAGAAACCTTATTTCTAGTGCACTTTAGCACTGTCCTGATATACTAAAAGTTTATAGTAAGGTTGTCAAGAATAGTAACACGAAATGGAGAGAAATAAATACAAACTAAAGTAGAAAATGAGATTAGAACGGGTTCTGCAGCTGTCAGGTGTTCTTACAGGTGTGGTTAAAATAAAATCTCATTTAGAGATTGGGGAGGAGGTAACAGCATGGCAGAAATCCCAATTTAATCTTGTTTTCTATTTCTAGCACTTAACCTCTCTGTGTATTGGTGTGTATATGTGCATATATTTTGCCCTATTCGTTCAGGTACTACAGCAGTAACTTTGTTTTTAAGCAAAACTAACTTAAAAATTTGACTACTAGTCCTAAATCTTTATTCCATAGCTAGTCACTAAATTTAAAGAAGGGCAAATCTAATCTTAACAAACTTGTGCATCTCTCAAGTGCAAGTGCAAAGGGTATGTGTATATGAATAGTTTCTGACAGTAATAGCTCTTCGCCAATTATGTGAAGCAAATGTTATGTTCTTCTGATTGCCGTGCTATAACTTTTGAATAAACTTAACATGAGGGATGAGCGAGACTGGGCTAATCAACAACTTACCTGTATAACATTTCCCCTGCCTTACCTTCAGTAATGCTGAAGTGATAAAATTAGGTGAAGCCAGGGTTACTGCTATTGTTGCAACACTGCTGTATTCACGACATTGAGATAAAAACAAATTTTACTTCAGTGTCTTCAATGACTCTCATTGAAGTAAAAACAAAAGCAAAAATGTTGTTCTTTCATAGCAAAAAAGGTGATTTGACTGGATGTATTGAGGTATTTTCTCCTTACTCAGTCTGATTATAGTCATAACTACCATCAAAATAGGAAGTCTTAGGAAAACATACTATCTAAATAGCAAGGACTTTTTGTTTTACAGTTGAATGTGTAAGCTGTTTCATCTTATCTGAAAGGGAGCTTTAAATTGTCTTACTGAAAAAGAACTTGTATCATGGAAACTTCGGTTATAGGGAGTTCACAATACAGTTTTATTCTTGTATTGTCCATCTCTATTAGACAATAGTTACAGGTTTGTTTTAGAATAATCATATAGTATGAATAGGGCATCCTCTTGCTCTGTTTAGGTAGTTAAAGTGGTGTTAAGCCTTTTAAGTTGAAGTCTACTTTACAACCTTTATTGCCTCTAAATCAAGCTATTACAATGTCGAAACTAAATGACTTCAGATATTTCATCTTTTCTAAGTTACAAAAACAAGGGAAAATGACTGTCTAGTCATCTAAGCACACTGGGCTTCCCAGGTTTCAAATAGAAAGCTGGTGTCAAAATTCCATGCAGTCATCACAGTCTGTAAAATTTCTATTTAAACTCAGATTCACAAACGGAGAGCAATACACAGTATATCTCTACGGCTTGCTATTTGTAGAATAACTCCTGAGTGTGGCACTCATGAGGTAAGTGCGTCTACCGAGTTGTTACTCAAAAATAGTTCTTGCCATAATATTCTGCATTGGCACAAATGAATTTATTGTATCATTATTCAAGTGGTAAGCCTTTTTTAATGCATAGCTTTCTGTAATTTTTTTCAAGTAATATACTTCCTCACATAAATAGCTTTTCTAGAACAGCTTCAGTTTGTTTAGAATAGAAGATTTAGAGACTAAAATGAATACACAGACATTGCTAGAGCAGAAGTGATAAACTGGAGCTTACTGTGACTCTGTAGGGCTGGCCTGCAAAGGAAAGTTTATCTGAAGTAAGACAGGTTATAAATTTAAGCATCTCATTTATTCCCGGCTAGATCTTCTATATTGTTTTTTGTACATAACTGAGGATTAGATCCAATAAATTACTTGAGCATTTGCAAGCTAGAAGCCATAATGACAAGTTCAGGTTACCAAAGTGCTAAGTGTCTTCTAGCTTATTCAGAATTTGAGGAGACACATTTTTTAGAAACTCGTACTGGTTTGCAAAGCATCTGCATTTGATTCAAAGCCCCAGTGAGATGCGTCCAGAGCACCAGACTCATTTCCTGAAATAACATTGTGGCACTTGCACCTAGTTTCCGACTGACAATATCAAACAAATATGTACATAGGGCATGTAACTCGAGTGATCAACCGGCTTTTCAAAATACTTGAGTGCTGACTCCTGCCAAGTAAACTTAAGTTTGTTCTGTATGATGGAGTTACATGGTGGATACAAAAAAACCCTGCTCTTGAGTGGTATGTTGAAAGTGATTTTTCTGTGTGGAGGTGGTTATGTGAACCACTGGGTAAATTCCTGCATACAAGTAGTCACAATCCATAACTTTCTGCAGAGGTGCTTGCTAGTTAGTTCAGGTACCTCCACTTGCAGCTTCTGCTCATGCATATACAGTGACAGAGGTGGATGGCCTGTGATAGGTCCTAATTTGTGGGGTGGAGAATCAGGAGAGAACATGGATTTGGAGCTCTTGTGTGGGAAGAGCAGATCACAAGGGTGTGTGATAAGAATCACGGTGGGCCTCCTCTTAATTTCAGGTTTGGCTTCAAGTGCGCTTGTTGAGCCTCTGCCCACAGCTTCTGCTGCCCAACCAAATTTTGGAAATCATCTGAGGTTGACCAGAAGCGAGGACTCTCCCCTGTCCTTTAATTACACTAACAAGCTACTGAGGCAACCTACTTTTTGGTTTCTTTCTGAACTTCTTCTGACCCCAAAAACTTGCCAGTTTCTCAGCTATGTTGTGGTCAGTTCCAACAGGAGGGGATGCAGAGCACTCTGTCTAGAATAGCACAGGACCCAAATGGAGCAGCGTTTTGTGAGGAGAGAGTTGCAACTTTGAATCCTCATAAAGTGAGAAAAAAAGACAGGAGTCAACTGTTTGCCAGGTACGCGCGCTGCCAAGTTCACACAGGGCATGTTATCATTGTTTACTTACCCCAGCAGCTCTCTGCAGAAAAGGAATCAGTAAACAACTGTGTTTTGTAAAGAACCCAAAATACTGTCGGTGTATTGGATGCATTCAGCATGTATGTCATATTAAACCTTGGAGGAATTTAGACAAGAATGTCAGGTTTTTGGCTGTGAACTTGGCAAATGCAAGAGACTTGTTCCCTCAGACTAGGTACAATTTCAGACACCAAAAGGGTTGGCCATTCAAATGATGAAGCATCATGTAATCTAAATCCAGATGACTGGGTCTTAGATTACAGTTCCAGAATTAAATACGTCCGTTCCACCTAGCTGTTGCTGTAGTATAAGTGTGTTTTATTCCAGATGAATTAAGTGGATTAAGCTGAGTTGGGACAAGACACACTTATTCTGGAGCAAAAACATTCAAAAAGCTGATAGTAAAAGGATCAACTATCCACATTTAATTCCTCATGTGGATGAGTCCAGTTCAGAAGACCCTCTTATCAGATATCTAATACTCGTTAGAAGGTTTTACTTGTTAGGAAAAAATTTGAGTTAGAAGATAGGGCTTGTGCAAATTGCTGAGGTTATTCTTAGCTTGGAGTACATCCTGGACTAATGGGTTTTTATGTCTGAGGCAGATGCAACAGTTTTTGGGCAGGTGAGGTTGTTTTTTTTCTTTTAATAAGGGTTTCTTTTTCCCTCAGGGGAGCAGAGAAAAACCGGGATTTTATTTCATTTTTCATTAATGAGCGAAGAGGATGTATTAATAAATGCTTTAACTTTGATTGCTTTGATGTTTTTTTATTAGATGATTATTTAAGTTTTCCTAAAATCAACGAGTTCATTTAGCTTAAATATGTGTGTGTATTTAAGTACAGATGTAGATTTTTCCTCCTCCTTACTAGGGGAAGGACAAATTAGCCATTGGTTCAGTCTGTGTTCCAATTGCTTTGTCAGTAATTGCTGATGATTGTGCAGGTAGGGGTCAGGCACTGTGGCTCCTTCTCAGGTGATTGATCTACCTGTGTTTTTTTTTAATCTGCAAATGGGCTATTTTATTCTTTGCCCCTCACTGCTTTATACATCTGACTTTAATTTTGGTTGCCTCAGGGTGATCCTTGGTTGTTGTCTTTCTCAATTTTTTTTTTTTTGAGATAGTTTCATTCAATATCTAGCTTTACTAAAATCCAGATGTGTGCAGGTGGCCCGACTTACTTGCAAGTTGGCTATTAATATAACAAGATGGAGAGGTTCAGACTTGCAGAAGAGGGAACTATATATTATTTGGTCATTCATAGCTCTAGCTTATGGGATTTTTGTGAAAAGTAGCTAGGTGTTGTAGTTTAATCTTACAAAAATATGATTTTGAAAGAGGACAAAAAAACCTTATCATATTATAGTAATTTTGAAAAGGTCATCAGGGGGGACAAGCTACATGTGTCTGTCTGGAGACCACCTGAGCTGAAAATCAATGCAGTAATTAAAGACTCCCATGATGCCTTTTTTATGTAGTTAGTATTCAAGAGTTGAATCATAATCTAAGAGTAAGATGTTTAAAAACAAAAAAGTAGGAGGAATTCTTTGGATGCCTCTTTATGCAGTTGGTTGTTAATAAATTCTGTTAAATAGAGATTTGTGCTGTTTTTCCTGCAATAATAAGTGGGATTACTTGGTGCTGTTGACGAACGCAAGGTACTTTTTATTAAATATTAGTCCTTCAGCAAGAGCTGTTGGCTAGCATAAAAGGAATGGATACTTCATGTTAGCGGTCGGGGAGGATGCTGTGTCTAATTCTTCAGTCCTGTTGGAAGTTTCGTGAATCCACTTGTTAGTTCAAATGAGTTGCAACAAGTGTTGCTTGTGTGATTTGGAAAAAATGCATTATAATGCTGTCATTAATCTACTTTTGCATTTGTTTAAATGATATATTCCATTGAGTCCTCCCATGGCATTTTGCTTTGGCACTCTGCATACACGTTCACATCCCTCATGTGAACGTACAGGTTTTCTTCGGAATGTCAGGAAGAAGCTACCTCTAGGGCAGCAGTTTAAATGAAAAAAAATTTGGTTTTATGCCATTCTTTTTTTTTATTTTAAAAATTCTTTAAAAATACCAAGCATATGAATAAATAAACAAAAATAGTGTTTCCAATCAACAAAGTACCTTACAGAGAATGTTATTATCTTTATCCCTTTGATAGACTGTGCCGCTCGGTAGCAGTCTACCCAAAATCAGGGGCAGATCTGGGAATGCAGGCTTTGTTTTCTCAACTTCAGCTCAGGGCTCTGACTGGACTGCTTCCCAGGACTTCATGTCTCATTTGGCATTTGTCATGGATTAGGCATTCTCAACCTGTGTGTTGGGGGAAGGGATAGAAATAACTGAGTAGATGCACATTTTTTGCTATTAAACACATTTCATGCAGCATCGTGATGGTACTTACAGTATTACTCGTTTCTCCCCTCCTTGCACAGTACCTGGAACAGCTACCAGCACTTTCCAGAGCTGCTTTCTCCAAGCCTGTACTCACAGGTGTTTGGGAACTGGCTGTGTCCTATAGGAGATGGGTCACAAAAGCGGAAAGCTCTTTTAATGATAGTGTTGGATTAATTACCTTCCAAAAGTCGAACCTTGTTCAGATAACTTGTCTTCAAAGACCAGGTTGTTTGTCTCACTTTTATCAGATTTCTTATTGGTCTATGTTATTGTAACAGTTGTGGGTTTTTTTTTTTTTTTAAACTGTCAGTTATACACAGAGACTTTCCTGCAAATAAAGACCACCAGGTACTTGCACCAAGATCCTCAAAAGGATTTCTAGACATCAAGGCTCTTTGGTGTTTAAATACAGTTCATGATCTGGATTTTGGTCCATATCTGACCGTATACCACAGCAACAGACTGCATGGCTCCTGCTTTGGGCTAATGGTATTCAAACAGCACGGTAAGTGGAGAACTGGAGTGAGATAGGTAGGTGGAGCTCTTCTATAGGGAGAAGTTTTATACAGAACAGGTGACACCTGACTGCAGTATTTATTTATATATTTATATCTGTGTGTATAAATATAATGTGCGCATAAATATAAGGTGCATATCACGATAATAAAAAAATAAAAATTTAGAAGTGTAGATTGTTTTTGGTAGAAAACTATCTAGTGTTTCAATACTGTTTGCCATTAGAAAGGACAGCTTTAACAAGTGGGTCATTAAGAACTTGTGTTAGACTGTGCACCTTCTGCCTTTCAGTATCCCTGACGCACCCTTGCTACTATTTAAACTTGCATTTATACCACTGTTGGCCTCTTCCTGCTGCAGTAGCTTTTGCTAAGTGTTATCTTACTACTTCTTCCTGCAGTAATCTCGTTTCCTAGCCCCTTGCTTACGATGTTTTCAGTTATCTTAAGCTGCTGACCAGTAAGCTACTCTTCTGCCACTTGGTGGGTCCGAGATAATTTCCAGTATCTTCGTACTGTCCAGGCTTATTCTGGCACACTTGGAAGACTTTGCAAGCAAAGATAAACAGAGTTCACTCAGTTTGATAGTGCCACAAAAAGTTATGGCTCAACAGAAGAATGTCCGATGGTAGAGGAAGGAATGGACGTTTGGTCTGAGAGGAGTTGCATGCTATGAAGAACACATCCTAAAAAGACTAGATTTTAGGTTAGAGACACGGACGTATCTCATTGTTCACCTTGCTTCCACTTTTATTAATGGCAGGTGAAGGTCATCTAGCTGTACAGTAAAGACTGATAGACTGTTACTTTTCATCTCCCTGATCTACTGTGAAGATTAAAAAAAATAGAAGTTCCCTCTGTCAATGAGAAAATCCTTATCTCAGCAAATTCAGTGGTTGTCTGCAGTTTTCTGCAAATAAATAAGGTCTGTATGCGATGCTGTGATTTAAATAGTATCACTAGTATAGCGATAGTATCAGAATGACTTGAATTTGTTTCAGAAATGACTGTACCTGGTCTCGGAAAAGACTATAACTTGAATTTTAAAAGAGGATAAAGGGTATAATGCTGGAGCTTGCAGATCAGTGATCTCATTGAGGAAGCCATTGTAGGTCAGCTATGCAGATCTTCAAAGCTCTGAGTATGACCTGTATTGCAAAATAATCAATGCATACTAAGAGAGGGCAGGAGTATATTCGCAGCAAGGTTACTTACAAAAAGTTACATTAAGGCATCATATGTGTTCTGCAGTTTTCTTTGTAATCCTGCTCTGTTTTACAAAGGTATTACCCAGTAAGGTGCCCTAGAGGTAAGCACTGCAGATGCCTTCATCAGCAGAGGGGAAAGAGAGGCAATTAAATGTTGGCACGCTGTGAAATCTCTGGGTACCAACACTTTCTGCATAGAATTTTATAACATTTTAAGGAACAATTAATTTTTGCACTGTCTATGTTGAGCAAATGCAAACAGTTTTTGAAAGAGGACAGTTGCTCAGTTTTTCTCAAACTAGCTAAAATCCTGCTGATCGCGTATGGGTTTATTTTTATTAACTGATAGCAAGATCTTGGTGACAACCTGCCTCCCCCAAAGCAGAGAGAATTCTATTTTCTTTTATTAGCATGCATCATTTGGACTCTGACAAGGGAGAGGCAGATTTCTGATATTGTAGGGACAGAATATGGGGCAGGGCAGTGTCTGGTACTCTCCTTCAAACAGGAGAGAAAACACAAAAGGACAAAACTACCTGCCTTGATCTGAATTGAGCAGGCTTTCTTGTAAAAGCAGCAAGGGAGGGAATGCTTTTAAAATATACTTTTTTTTTTTATTCCCTCCTTCCTTTATCATCATGGGACTGAGCAGGGAAAGAATTCTCTTTACCTTTAAAGGTATGAATAGTAATATATGGAATAATCTGCCCCAAGAAAAAACAATTCCACATGGGAAGCAGGCAAAGCTGCCGCATGGGAGCTCTATTTTTTTGCCTTCAGAAGGCTAATTTCATCATGCAAATTTTAAAAGCCAGCAGCCATTAAAGGTGAAGGGGAAGCAACAAAATGCTGTGTTTTCTTGTCATTTTGGACCAATTATTTTGCCAGTAGCTGCACTCCTGTGTGCAGTTTCTTGATTGTAAATATTGCCTGTCCTAAACAAGAATTCTGCCTTAGATATCTTTATTTTAAAACACAGTTCTTACTTCAGAAGAGCTTGATAATGAAGTGTACTGATATAGCTATGAAATTTATCTGTATCTGTTTTCTCACAGGCTTAGTAAAAGACTGTGCCTTATTACACTGGTGTAGCTAGAACAAAGCTTGGTTCTCAGACATTAAGATGGCCCTTTTAACTCATATGTTGCCAATGTATATATTTTATAGTTTCAGATGTTGGTGAAGTCAACGCCTACCGAACACAATGAGGTGTGGATTTACTTCTGTGGACTTAAATCCAATATCTTCCCTTATTGCCTTGCATGAAAGCTTTTATTTTGAATAACTTATGCATTTGATTATTTGGTGGGAAACACACTGCCAAATGTTTTACAGGGTTCTCAAATATCTTTTATTTTGGCTAGTGGAACACTGGATGTGGAGCGTTCCTGGTTGAAGCAGCCTTGCTCCTGCGTCCCCCAAAACTCCGGTCGCCCTGTGCTCTTTCCTATCATCAGGGCTGCATGTGCCCTTGCTTTGGCCCAAAACCTGAAAGAAAACCTTTAAGAAAAAACAGTTGAATCCAAATAAGGCAGGAGGTGGCTGCTTGTTAACTTTGCAATAGTTTTACTGTTGAAAAGGGAGGTCTGTGGCAGTCTAGAGGTCTCGGGCCACGAATGCATTGTTACCTTTGTGCTTTTAGAAACGCTTTTCTCCCGTTCCTGCAAGTTTTTAGCTACGTTCTGAATTCACGCGTCAGGAGAGATGCTAAGTAAAGTGCTTGCAGAGCGCAGCTCGGCCTCCGTTCCCCAGATGCGTCCTTCCCACTTCTTAGGGATGAGCCAGACTTTCCGCACAGATCGTGGCGCAAGCTGCCATCTGGTGGATGTTGGTAGAGAGCAGCTGATTTAAATAAATGAAGACTAGACATGCTGTAAAAAAACCAACCTTCTCCAAGGCAGTCAGAAGGACTTGGCAGTGTCTTCTATGTTTCTGCTTTGGATGAAGTGTAAATAAAAGTAAATATATATGTGTGTGAATCTATCCAATATGCTGCTTAAGCTATTTGATTTGATGCTACCTATGCTCTTTGATTCTATTACATCAGGAGCTCGCACATTAATTTGTAGTTAAAATAGTGTCATCAATACGAGCAAAACCCCTGACAACAACAGAGAATAAAATAGTTGTGCAGCGTTACTGAACTGCAAACTGCTGAATTTCTGCATCTGTAACACCTGGTTCTAGTGCTGTTTCCTGCATGGTAGCAGTAGTGAAACATCTATGGAGCAAAGAAGTTAACAAAATTAATTTTAACATTCTGGAATGATGATTTTTAAGGTAATATTAAGAATTTAATAAATGCCCAAGTGTGACTCTTATACCGCAAGGCTCACTGAAAACTAGTGAGTCTCGTGCGCTGTTCTCCAACTCTCTGGACTTTACTATAGGTTGCAAGATTGTTCGCGCATTTCTGAAAGGCCCAGCTCCTGAAATCAAGATATTGTCTTTGCTGCTCCACCCCCTTAAAGTTATATTTCGGTTCTTTGTAAAGGGAAAGTAGAAAACAAAAAGACGTAAACCTACAAGGCTCAAAAATAAAAGGCAAATAAAATAATTCTAGATTTTTTAAGATAACTTAGTCTAACACTTTGTGTTTGGCCTACTGCATGCTTTTTTGAATGCTGCTCATACTCGATATCTTGCTGCAAATTCCACCCCGCATTATGCGTCAGCCAAAAAAGCGCTGTTATGATGGCTTTAAAAAAGGCACCCTTGTAACCCATGGTTATAAATGCAGTAGTGCACAATTCATTCTCTTTACGTGACTCTCTTGGCACCTCTGGCACCATTACGCCCTTCCTGCAGCAGCAGTGGGTCACTCAGCTGTGGCAGGGCAGCTCCTTCCAGCGCAGCCCTGCTGTGACCCAGCAGTGGAGGAGCACGGTCTGGTCTGGAGGTGCTCTGGGGCTCCTGGGCTGGTGGACGCTGGCAGCCCCTGCGGGATGCCTCGGGATGGGCCCCCAGCTCCCAGGGAGTGCGTGCCCAGGAGCCGGATGTGTTCCTGCTCCTGCCGGCAGAGAGCTCGGCTGGGGACGGAGCATGGGAGCACTGAGAGAAAGAGGCAGGGCCCCTTTGGGTGTTTAGGGGGGGGGGGGGTGGACTAGGTGATCTCCCAATGTGGTGAAATATGGGAAGACGACTGAAGAGAAGGTTTCTTGAATATGTAGGGAGCTTCCTTCAGAGTCCAAAAGGCCAAAAAGGTGATCGCAACGCTTATCTGGAGACTGAAGAGAAGATTTAGAAATGGAATAGCTTCTCAAACTGGAGCTTTACTGGAGAGTAAAGATAGAATTAAATATACTGGATAAAGAGATCTGTGTAAAACTGATGTTGGAAAAGAACGGAGAAGTTTCTGAGAACATCTGGAGAGAGGGAGAAGAATTTTCCTGAGAGGAGGATGTCACAAGAACTGCCAAAATTGTCTTGCTTTTTAATTTCTTTTAACTGAAAAACATATAAATTTAGTACCGAACACAAAGAATACATTATCACAATAACATAAAATCCTCATCAGCAAAATACAGATAATTTTTTATGCCATTCCAGAATTATTCTTGACAGCTGTTTTTAATTTGGCACAAACAATGGCAAGGAGGTTTGCAGGCATCAAAACATGAGATCTAGACGTGGATGATTCATTTCAGTCATCACAGAGAGGGGATCATAGGAGGGAATATGATGAAAATACACAAAACAATGCATAGGGTTGCACGTAGCTGGCTCTTACAATTTCATAGTAAGTCTCATGGTATTTCATGGTTTGCTTAAAGCCTTAGTTCCCGGATTCATGTCGTAAATGAAAACTGTAATTTTCATAACAGAAGAACAAGTTTCTAGTGTTCATGGCTGCAAAAAGACTGCAACTAATACTGAACAAGAGAAGGAACTAGAATGCATCATTTTCAGGGCCAAGTTTTTAGGAGTTTTAACTGAGAAACAAAAATCTATCTGTCTTCTCACTCTAAAAATAATCCAGAGGCATAAAACTAGGACTTGAACCTACTGTCACAGCTCAGGTCAGGATTGCATTTAAAGGGCATATAAACCATTAGTTGCTTAAACGGGCGTTGCAAAGTCTTTTATCCCCATCTTTTTCTGTCTTTAGCAACATTCCTGTAGAATCTTGAACGTAATGTGACTTTACCCTGTATTTCATCTTGCTTTTTACTTCAGCAGATGCTGCTTAGACCAGACTCTGATTCCAGCTTTGTCACTTTCTGATCTGGAGTAACTGTGCCTTGTGCCAAGTAAGGCTGCCCTGTGCCGCGCCATCCTGCTTTCCTCCTGGAGCCGTAGCAGAGAGCAGAATCCGGCCTATTGTTTGCTGCCCCTTTGTCTGTGGCGCAGGGGAAGCCGGCATTGTTCTTTCTGATTTACTTCCTTGTCTCTGTAAACCAGCATGACTTGAAGCAGAAGGACACAGCTCTCTCCATTAGAAAAATGAGGCTGATTTACGAGAGAAAGCCGAAGGAGCGCTCACCCTGTGCAGCATTTGCAGCTGGAGCCTGGGCAGCGGCCCCGGCTGCGGCCGCGCGGAGCGAGCTGGGCCTCCCCGCTCCCGGCTAGCCGCGCAGGCCGGAGAGCCTCGCACCAGTCACTATTCATCTTTGCTTCTCAGGAGCACCGTGAAAACGTATGGAAGCATTACAGGAATAAACCACTTCTCTCTTCATGTGGTGTTCCCCACAAGTTGTTCGTTCCAAGGTAATACTGAAGGTCTAAAAGTAATAATAGTGAAGCAAAGAGAAAAATTCCCTCTTGGATCTCTCTCAGCGTTTCCTAGGGTTGAGTTTTTGCTTATAAAATGCTCCTTGAGCAGGTTCAGTGTGTCACTGGCCTAGTGAGAGCTGGTACTGCTTTGTTCCTCTCCTGCACCATGCAGGTTTTGCATTGCTTTTAGAAAAAATTATATATGAGGAGCTACTGAAATTTCCTTCTTTCCGGGAAAATGTTATGAGTTTATTCATTGTTCTTTTCCTTCGTGTCTTCATGGCAAAATACAGTGTGTATCGGGGAAGTTCTACTGCACTCCAGAAGATACATTTAAAATACATGTAAACATATTTAAAAATGCTTTTATACTTTTAAAAATGTTTTAGACAAGCAAACTCTTAATATAAGATTACTGGCAATTCTGTCTGTTGTCTTTCTGCTAGGCACCAGAATCAAAGCGCTAACCTTTCAAAAGTTCTCAGCTGCCTACACTGCCCACTGTGATGTTTATCGTCACCTTTACAAAAAGAGTCGTACCCATCACATCTTTGATAACGGGATGGCATCTGTAGTGCCTGAAAGGCAATTGAACCATTTTGTAAGTAACCTCCCCCCAATTCGATAATGAATACTTTTTGTTCATGGCAGACTAACCATGCCAGAGTTTCAAAAGTATTCATATTCAGTAGCCCTCTACATTGTAAAAGCTCCGGCAAACTCTCTGAAAGGCACCAACAAAGCTGAGAAACTCACTGTGTAACCCAACCAGAGAAGTGAAAGAAATAAAGGAATGAAGTATATGCTATAAATTGACGTGAAGAATCTTATGGCAATGATAATTAACTCTGTAACAAAATGCTTCACACCACCCATAGCCTTAAAATGTCACAAAAGCATATCAGTATCCACCTTTTTCTGCCGCCTTCACACTGTACGAAATGCTGCCAACAGTGTACTCTTGGCTGGGTAACGCGTTTGCCTCTGTCTTTTGCATATATGGGAAAGCAGTACAAGGCCCAGTTTCACCCATCCCATGGCCTTGCGCAAAGCCTCGGTGTATTCTTGGATTAGCATGTTGGCGCTTCTGACTGGCACAAAGTTGATTCATTTGGAAATGTACCCTCTTTTTAGAAAGTTGCATCCCAGAAGTCGAGCAAGAACGCTCGTTTTGTAAAGTGGGACAGAAGTGGTGACTGTGACCTCCGAGGCCTAGATGGGACGCTGTGCCGCCAGAAGGAAAACTCTGCTAGTTACTGATACCTCATTACTCTGTGTTCACCAGGAAACAGAAAGCATCTAAAATTACCTACCCAAGCCACGGCTTTATGTTTGGCTTGTTCAGAACTCGGTGTTTAGATACCAAAATACACGACCTGATTTTTTTCTGCTTCCAGACACAGTGATTTCACTGATGGACATGGGGTGCTGCTGCAGGAGGAGCTCAGTATTAGTGCTGCTGTGTGCAAGGCTGATCAAGGTGGAAGAGACATGGTTATAAAATGGAGAAATGGTTAAAATACTGTACAATGTGCCTCGCTCTTGAAGAGCCATACAGTACTTGCTAAGCTTGCCTCTCTCTTCTCAAAACTGCTGCCTTAGGGAGGTAAAGAATTACCAGTGCCATAAACTGTAATCAAGATCAGATGTGCTAAGGGAAAGGCCTCGCTCAAATATCAAAGGAGTCTTAAACTGCCAAAACAGAGCAAGCGAGTGAAATCTCGAGGGAATCAGAGCTGTAATTTATGACTGACCTTCATTTTAACTGGGAAGTGCGTGCTCTCGAATGGCGCTGCTCCCGTGAATGCATGTTTTGTTTTGCTTGCCGTCACTGGGAGCCTCTGCTGCAGCGTTATCGATCAGCGCCGGCCAACAGCGAGCACAGGCGGGTTAATCGCATACGCATTCCCGAAACATTTTTCCGCCCTGAACTCTTGAGCAGCGACAGTGCCCTGCTTTGTGGTTCCTCTGCACCGGCCCTGCCTCGCTGCTTTGTTTTCGCGTCCTCAGTTGCCTGAATGACTCCACGTTTTCTGCATTCTCATAACACAGTTGTTGTCTGCGTTTGGGGGCAAAAGGAGGTAACAGCTCTTCAAGGGGATTTTCGATACCAGCAGAGCATTTGATGTCAGGAGAAGCTCTCAGTCAATTAAAAGGCCAAGTATTACAAGAAAAAACAGACATATTACTTCTTTACAGTCAAATGTAAAACAACAGCATCACAATGCCTCAGCCTTGCCTGTGCTGCCTGCCTTTTCACATTTTTACAGAGTAACATTTGACTGGAGACTTTCTACACTTCAAAAAAGTTTAGACTCAAATCTAGTTCCCAACTTATCTTTGTGATGGACCCAAACTGCACACTGAACTTTGGGGAAATTCGCATCCACATTTTCGTCTGTGTTTTCTGGCCTGGTTCCAGTCATAATTTGAAGCAGGGATGCTTAGCTGCTGTAAACTGAACTCAAGTATTGTGTTCCCCTGGCTTCCCATCAGATATTCTGTATCAAATCATATATTCATTTTCATCATCTCAGAATCATGTTCCAATTTTGATTCCAGTTTGAGTCCACCTCACATTTAACATGAACTGCAAAGAATTATAAATTACATATACCTACACATATTACATACACATATACTTTTGTTATAAAAGTCAAAACTTCCTAGCTTCCTGTCTCAGCTTCCTGTGTGAACAGCTGTTAATATGTGTAATGAAACTCACTTTAAAAAGCAGAGTCAGGTTTGAAGCCTGATGCAAAAGAAAACCTTAAACAGAACTTTTGCAGGTAGAAAACCTCTTGGATTTAATTGGATGAGAGGATTTAGATTATTTTTCATCATTGCAACATGTTGTTTTGCAACACAGAAATGTCCCTTTACAGTAAATACAGAGATGCCTGCTATAAATTAACTTCAGAGTTTCAGAAACACAGATGGGATTTCTTGCACTCTCCCAAAAGGCTACATTTGCTCTAGAGAAAGCAGCAATTTTAGCTGTTTTGTTATATTCAGGCGCTCACTTATCCCCACCGTTTCTGCTTCACTAACGAGAGGCAATCTGATTTATAGCTTATCTGCAATCAAGCAAGGAGATTAAGCATCTTATTTTGTCACTTGCTATGTTTCTGCTGCCTCCAGCGTTTAATTAAAAAAATGTACATTTGTAACAGAAACCATGAAGTTATGTGCTCTGCAAGGAAAATCTTTCAGTAAATGAACTTTCAATACATTTTGGTAGGAAAAAAATGTGCATTCATGACGTGACATAACTAACCCCAGTTGACGGTGGCAAGACTACGCTTTGTCCGTCGAGCGTCCTTCTGTCCTTATCTAGGCCCTTCTTGCAAAGAACCGGGGGCTCTTGCGCCCTTCGCAGCC